CTAAAATACCTTATTTTTAATACATGAATTAGATTATTTTTTATCATTTCAATAAATTTTTATTAAAAAACTAAAATATTTTATTTTTAATACATGAATTAGACTATTTTTAGTTTTTTTTATATTACTTTATTAAAATAATATAGTTTTAAAATAATTTTTAATTAATTTTTATAATTACAATTCATTAAAATTTATAATTTTATATAATATTATAATTATAATATTACTTTTTGTCAAACCAAACTCTTTTATACAATTTTTTTTTTCTTTTTTTGTCGTTTCCGAAAGCTTCTGCTCCTTTTTAATGAAGAAATACTGTTTTCCAATCGTAAATTTTTTTTTTTTTTACTAAGTAGATGGTTAGAAAGTTAGTAGAGTTAGTTTGTTAGCAGCTGAAATTTTTTTAAGAAAGTGAACGTTCCATCCCCTTATTTGAGGCGCGCGACCATTAGGTCGCAAGTTGGTGGAATTCAAGACGGTGGCAGAACTTAAAACCCTGATCTTCGCCTCACCCAAATCCTAAAGTTTGGGAGCCAACCAATTAGGCCAGACGCTCTGGTTGGCGTTTTCCAATCGTAAATAATAAATGAATGTGCTGAAATTGTCATAAAAAAGCATTCTAAAATAGGTATAAAAATTAAGATAGTGTAAGGTCCAAAAGAGAACTAATTAATCCAATGACCAAAAAGTATTCCAACAAAAGTAAACAGACGCATATGAAAAGTCAAAAAAAGCTTCTTTTTTTTTTTCTGGGGGGGGTGTGGTGTGGGGGTGTGGGTGTGGGTGTGGGTTTGGGCTGCACTCATGCTGGCCGAACCTGTTCTGGATTCGCTGCGTTAGCCGCTCTGAACTCCTCCCTAAGCTGCTCCATGTTGTTGAGCTGTTCTAGCTCCTTCGCGAGCTCCATAAACGCCTGCCTACCAGATTGGAGGTTAGCATCTAGCTGCATTAGTATTCATAACGCCTCATCTCTTAGGAAACCTTTTAATGATTAGGAGTTTAAATCTTTATAACAAAGATTTTA